AAGGCACTCTCCGGGTCCAAGGCCACAGTCAACGGTCAACCCTCCCAACCCTGCTCTTCAACTTCCTAGGGCAAAAATATACACCAGCTGGAAGTAATAAATGGAGTAACTTCACTTCTCAAGTAATTTAAAGCCTGATGGATAAGATGCCAACCTGTGTCATTCTACTACTTAAGATCCTTCAATAGCTCCCCATTAACCTAGAAAATAAAGTCCAAGGGTAGAGTATGAGATAAAGTTCTCTATGACCTGGCCCCTACTTAACTTTGCAGCTACATTTTCAAAATTCTTCATCTTATAATCTGTGCCCTGAAATGAGCAAAGTGTAAGTTCCTCACCCAGACACTACTGTGAGTCTGGCACCCGTGCCTTTGCTCATGCTGCCCCATTGTCCTGGAGCTCCACTCCCTCCATGCTGCCATGTTCACTTCTGTTTGTCTTTGAGACTCACATTAGCTCCTCCACAGAGCTTTCCTGAACTCCAGAATATATAAGTCCTTCTCCTCAACAGTCCCACTGCACTTGTGAATGCCTCTTTTTACTAACCATCTTTTATCGAAATTGTACCCATGTATCTGTCTCCCCCGACTCACTGTGTGGTCCTCTAACGTGGAAACTGTGTCTAAATCATCTTTGTTTCTTATTTAGCACGGTCCCTGGTATCCTGTAGGGTTTTAGGATTTATCTGTTGATCGAAATTCCACCAAATTGTAGAGCTCCATGAGGTTAGCTCATTCATTCCTTTATTTATTCCAGACATACTCAATGAGTGTTTTTTGCTCTTTGTTGTTTTTTTTTTTTTTTTTTTAATGCCAGGAACTCTGCTAGGTTCTGGGGAGATACCTGTGAACAGAAGAGGCCTTTGTCATCACAGAATTAGCTCACATTTCAATAGATGGAGATTGACCGTTGTCAAATACATGACCGAAGGCAACAAAACAAGGTGATGACTGAGGGCGAGTGGGGTGGGTTTCCCCACTTCAGAAAAAAAATGAAAGGACTTTAGTGGGGCAAATCTCAGAAAAGGGCTGGTTTTTCTTCTGATTGTGACTTGCTAATATAGGAGATATGGAGATACTGCCCATGCTAATGTATACAAGTGTATGGTTATATTTGTATTCATAAACTGTTTGTTTATAAGGGGTATTACATAATCCTTAATAATAATCATTATAGCAATATACACATGTCTGTATGGTGTTACTTTTATGTATATTATTTCATTTAAGAAGAACATAGCAAAGGTCCTAGTATATCCATGTTAGGGAGGAAACAGACTCAAATACGATCAGTGGTTTATTCCAGGCCACAGAGCCAGTGATAAAGCTGGTATTCCCAGCCAGATTTTCTGACTGCAAACCCAGTGTTCTTTTCTTTATACAATGATACCTCTGTCAAAGCCTTTTCAATCCTGTTCTTCCTAGAGGAAGTTCCAACCCACTCCTCTCAGCCTTGCTGAGCCTTTCTATATAATGCTTCTCTCGAATCAGACAGCTAGGAACTTCCTGAAAGATTCAGCTGTTGCCATGTCAAGATGTTCTTTACTGATCCCAAGAAAATCACATGGTTAATAGTGCCTGGAAGCATTTATCTAAAATATTAATTTTACAAACATGTTCATTTCCAAGATTATTTATTTAAACATAATTAATTTGCAAACGTGATTTCACTCAGCAAATGTTTACTGAGAGCCCAATAGATGCTAAGAACCATTCTAGGAGCTACAAACCCGAAAGATCAAAAATAAGACCCACATGTTAAAACATGGAAACATGGGGCGGCTGGGTGGCTCAGGTGGTTAAGTGTCTGCCTTCGGCTCAGGTCACGATCTCAGGGTCCTGGGATCGAGCCCCATTGTCGGGCTCCCTGCTCAGCAGGGGAGTCTGCTTCTCCCTCTCCCTCTACTACTACCCCCCTGCTTGGGCTCTATCAAATAAATAAGCAAAATCTTAAAAAAAAAAAAAAAAAAAGAAAACATGGAAACACAACCAGCAACACGATGCTGAGCTGGTAGTTTTTAAGTGTACACAAATCTTGTATTGATAACTAGGGTGTGGGGAGAACCACAACAGTCTGAGGACAATTTGGATAGTCTCTGTCATGGCTTTTACAGCAGTAGGAAGCTAGGAAGCCAGTGCACCCAGGTGAAATCCACAATCATTCTGCCCAAGAGAGGAGCCAGAACTTAACTTCTGAGTGTTGAAGTAACTGTAGTTCCAAAGATAAAGCCTATTTTGTACCACACACAAAGTGATCCGCGATCTGGAAGAGAAACACTGAAGTCCTTTTACCATGTCCCCATTTTGAAGAAAATAATACATGAAAGTGCCCAGCTCAGCTTAAGGCAACACAGAGCCACAAAAGGCAAGCAAAGACAGAGAAAGGAAGAAAGAGACAGGAAAGAAGGGCTTGTTAAATAACTGGACACTGTTCTAAGGGTAAATAGTTAAAGTGGATAGGTAGGATTTATCAAGGAGAGAAATCCCAACCTAGCTGGAAGCTTCCACCATTCACTAAATGTCAAAGACAAATACCAAGAACGAGAGAAGAATTTCCCAGACCTGCCCTACAACAAAGTGAACTGTAAGGATTAAGCGGAAAGAAAGAATATGCCAGGACTACATGAGACTTGAAGTTCCCTGTTTAAGACACTCAGACAGAGGAGAAAGCTTCCCAGATCCCTTTGAAATGCCACAATACCGTATGCAACAGAGAGATGAGGTTATAAGTTAACGGAGTTCTCATTCTGCCTACTGTTTTCCCCAGCATGGGCTGGACTTTCCTTTTTCTGACTTGATCTGGGTTTAAATGCAGATTTATGCTGCTAGTTATATATATATTTTTACTACTAAGTACTAATTATTTCTGTTACTGACACCGTTTTTCAGAACTGCCTTTAATTTTTAAGCTTATAGTAACACTTTTTATGAGCTTTTGAAGGTTTCTGCTCTCTACACCCAGGCAACATGTGTGCACGTGCATGTGTGTGTGCATACAGATTTTATTTACTTTAGGTTGTGTGTGGATGGAGCCATCAGAGATACCTTTGTGTTTTCATGAGCTTTGTTTCAAAACGTTCAGGAGCATCCTTCCTGATTGATAATTTGCAGTTGGGAAATTGCCTCTTTGTCTCAAAATACATAATTGAGAGATGGTGCAACATAACTGTGTACAGGGGAAAATTAGTTCTAGAGGCCACCCCTAGATCCTGTCCAGGAGAAATCCTGTCCACGCTCAAGGCTGTTTCACTACCAAAAAATGGATGAGCTCTCCACAGCAATCAATTCCTCATTCATTCCTGAGCCACGTCCGTAGTAGCAGAATGTTCCTATCTAATCCTGACAAGAGTACGATGCCAGTGTGTGTGATTTAACACTGTTTAAGCGTCTTTCAGGGTTCATTAGATGCTGAGCAGTTTATACCTTTTTTCTATCCAAATGGGAGTAAATCCCAGAGTGGAAGTGTTCTCTGTCTCCTGCAATTCTGTCAGGAATGACCACTGGCATCCCTGCAGCCGGTGGAAGGCTAGCTAATGTCCAGCAGAAAGAGGGAAGCCCTTTTGGGGTTCTCTTCCATAATTTGTCCTTCAGACCAAGAACAACACAGAGCTGTAACTGGATTTTTCCCTCCTTTGTCACGTCTCTCTTTCCTACCCCTTCCTCTCAACTCACATGCGTTTACTGCCTCAAGGCCCAGCTCAAATATCAATTCTTCTCTGAAACGGACTTCCCCCTAAAATGTATCTGTTTCCTCTAATTCTACTCAATTAGGACATTTACTCTGTGGCACTGAACACACAGTGTCCTGAGCTGTACTCGCTCACCTCCAGATCTCATCTCCCTTCCTAGATCATAAAATCCTCAAGCACAGAGACCACGGCTTGGAAAGAGCAGCTAAGTTCGGTTACAATACAAACACGGTGCCCAGTGATGACTTGATAAATGCCATCCCCTCCAGAAATATTTATTATGCATCTACTATATACCAGGCATAATGGACCCAACTCCTGTTCTGACATGGCTCACAGTCAAGTGGCGTGAATGCACGCATGTATAATGCCGCCTCGTATGATAACCAATGTTCAACAAATTTCAAATAACCATAATCAGAATAAAACATGTGCCCTGAGAGGAGTCTCATAACATGTCACAAGGGATCTTTATCTACAAGAAAGAACACTGTTAGCTTCTCAAGGAATTTCCCCAGGGAGGGGGTATAGATATCTCAGGCAATCAGTCTTAGCTTAAACAAAAATGTGCAGTTCACAGCTCGGATGACAGAGTATTCTGAAAGAACTCTACCAAATCAAGTCTGATTCTTTTTGCCTCAACAATTGACCTTAGAGAACTTACACTTGACTGAAGCTCCTCTGCTCTCAGACAGAGGTCTCAACACATCAGCTACAATAGTAATAAATGAGTAATGGCAAAGCCCCACTGCTTTCTCACAGCTGCTAGCTTTCAGGGGATAAAAAAAAGAAAAAAGAAAAGGAAAAACCAGTCTTTTTGGCCTTAATGTTACACTCTGAAAATTTTCCTTTATCTCAAATAATGAGACTCTTGGGAACACCAAGCTTGGCAAAGGTAAAATAATACATATGTTATGCTTTAGACAAGACAAACAACCACAAATTGAGCTACTTTTAGCTAGAGCTTCCCTACTTGCCAAGTCAAAGTAGGAAATCAAACTTTACAAGGTGTAGTTCTTGTGATATCAAAGTCCTTTCAACTCTTTTATAAAGCACCTCTACCTGTGGGATACAGTTTCCCATTAGGCAGATGAGGAAACAGAATCACAAGATACGTTAAGTGGCAAACCCAAGGTCATGCAACCAGCTTAAGCGGGAACCAAAATCTAGGACCTTACTTCCAAGTCCAAAGTCTTTTTTGCTACAACCTATGGCCTCAAAGAATGGATTAGAGGACAGAGCCCCTCATTGAACTGGAAATTCATTTGTTCTTGGGACAGTCAACAAATTAAAGAGAGCATGTGACCGTTACCTCTTTAAGGCAGCCCATGAAGTTGTTGCTGACGGGTGAGCCTGGCAAGTCAGCGGTACTTGGGCTTCCTCCCACGTAGAAGAAGTCGTCCGAGCCCAGCATGGTGTAGTCCTCTTGAGTGTAGCCCGTCGTGGTAAGGATGCCATCCACAGAGATTGTCACCTGGTGGAGGGACATAGGGACAAAAAAAAAATCCCAACAATGACTTTACAGTCCTATCAAAATCTGGTGGCGTCCCCTACCTGTGGCATCACTTTCATTAAGATTTTGGTGAGGTATTCTTTCTAATTTGGTTGATTTTGGTAGGCGCAGCCAAGTTCCATTTTCTGGTCTGCCTTCCCTGCAACCCAAGCCTCCAGCTTTCCTCTGCAGACTCCCGGGAGACTTTGGGGGAATTGCCAAGATGAGCAACTTGCTCTACCCACTGCACTCTTTACTCAGTCAGGCTAGAAAATGGAACTATCCTCAGACGACATCACTTGTCTCAGTTCATTGGTAAAATGATTGTTTATTTTTTGAATGACTGTTATTTATGGTGGTAGTGAGAAACAGCAAAGGAGACATTTGACAATGGAGTTTGTTAGGGTTGGTCTTTGGTGGTGGATGGTTTTTTTTCCTTTTTTCTTTTCTTTTTTTTCTTTTCTTTTTTATTCGTTTCTTTGGGGGCTCACACCACGCTGACAAACATGCATTCGGGGAGGAAAGGAGAAGGGTCTCATTTTTGATATGATGGTACATGCCATGGACTACCCCCAGGACACCAACCCCTGCCCTCCCTTCACTGCCGTCACCACCACCAAAAGGAGAAATGACCCAAACCAAAAAGGCAACTCTAACAAAAAGAAAGGAATATGAGGCATAATAACCAAAATAAAAATAATAAGAATGCCCACAGGGAAGAAACAGCACCCACACGCCCAACATCCATGAAAGGAGCAGAGGGCAAAGAGAAAAGATGGGGCCTCAAAGCGTGCACGCATCATACGCTGACACACCCATGCGAAAACCATCAGGAGCCAAGAGAAAAGGCAGAAGAGAAAGGGCAGGGAAGTGGGCAGGGGTGAGGAACCAAAGGGAAGGATCAAAATCCACTTCACACTTACATGCACTGAACAAAGTGGAACACAAGATGGAGGTAAAAACAAACAACCAAAAAAAAAAACCCAAACCACTCAAAACTAAAGGGTTGTCTTTCCCCTGCCTGCCACCTCCCTCACTAAAAAAAAAAAAAAAGAAAAGAAAAGAAAAAGTCCAAACCCAACCCCAAAATATATGAAGGATGAGAGGAGAATGAAGGAGAGAGAGACAAAAATGAAGAGAGAGAAGAGTGTGGAACTGGGCTGATGATTGACAGGTTGTTAGTAATGAGGAGGAAAATGGAGGGACAAACGCTGATGTCCATGGGGAAATCCACGAGACAGGAACATGCCATGCAGAGTCTGTACGGAGAACACACTGGCAGAGCTCCCTTTGGCCACGGTGGGGAATAAGGTGAAAGCCGGGAAAGGAAGAACAGAGGAAATAGAGTACTTTCCTCCCCAGATCACCTGTGGCAGCCCATGGCCACACCAAAGGGAAAGAAAAATGGGCTTCAGGAGTGGGGAGGAGGGAAGAGAAAGGAGGGAGAGTGGGAAGGGACAGGGAGACACAGAAAGAAGAAAGTCCTCAATAGAAAGCCTGTGGGCCCTAGTCTGTAACTTGGAAGTTGCAAAATAAGAAAACAAAACAAAACAAATGTAGCTAAATGGGGACTCTTTCTTTAAAAAAATACTTTTAGGGGAAAACAAAATGACAAACTGGAGAAAAGGAAACTGTCCCAACCAAACTCCTCCAAATACCATTTCCAGGACAGGCACGTCCCCTTCCATTTTTTTTTTTTTCTTTTTTTAACAAAAAAGAAAGGCTTGCATTTCATCCAACAAAAAAATTTTAAAAGAAGAAGAAAGGAGTCTAGGAGGATAAAAGGGGGGTTTGGGAAGGAAAAGGAGGGCAACACACGGCAAACCCAAAAAAAGAGACAATAAGAATGATATCTACCAGACAATGTAGTTTGTTTACCATAGCGTGTCCGATGCCTGAGTGCTTTGCGGAAAAGGGGGAAGAAAGGAAATTAAAAATTGTGAACAGAACGATTGTTAATTAAAAAAACTAAAAACAAAGATGAGTCGTTAGGGTGTTAGTACATTAGTCGGTTAGTAAAATGACACATTGCATGAATGATCTTGTGTTAGTTTTTCAAAAAAAAGGCACCCGACACAGAAAAAGAGAGTGGGGAAGACAATGAGACCAGGACTCTATGGAAAACCTCGGCAGCCAGGGCAGAGCCAGGAAAGGAGCTGCAATCTACCCTGTCATTGAACTCCCCCTTCTTCCAAACACCGCTCAGACCGGACCTCACCCCAGTTAGAATTAGCATCATACTTACTTTCCAAGGGCTCTTCTGAATGAACACCATTTTCCCTTCCCACCCTCTAGCACATACACAGCCCACCTATCCTGAAAGAAAACACCACTAAAGTTTATCATTTCACATGTAGGTAGATAGATAGGTAGAGCTAAAATACCAATATTCTGGGGACTTTTTTTTTTTTTTGATATCTGACTCTGACTACATGCATGGATGATTATGACTTTCAATAGAACAACGAAAAAAACGTAAAGCATGTACAGGTCGCCTCTGGCATAGGAAGGCTACATGATGTAGCTTATTCTGGGTTTCCACAGATGATTAAAGATCCATGACTCCCTTGATTTTGTGTGGATATGTGCAGCTGGAGGGGGAAATTCTCCTCTTTGTTTTCCTCTTGGTCGACAATAACTGTGTTGTCAGAGTGCATCAAAATAGTTGGGAGTCTTCTTTATTTCCCAATGTAGTTATTGTTTTGTTTTCTTTGCCAGAATGCTGCCCGTTGGAATCGCTCTCCCCCCATTCCCCTTTAGAAAATGGTTTTCAAGCTTTTAAGCAATTTCTTGTGTGGATAACAGAGAGGACTGGCAGGTTAAACATGATTAAAGAAGCCCTACAATTTGTCTCCTCTGACTATTTTCAAATGCTAAATGGCCAGTACACCCTGAGCTGGGAGGCTGGAAGGCTGGAAGATCGGTAACCCCAGTTTTGTGTTTGTGGTTTCACTAAAGTGGCATTAGAGGTAAAGCAATTCACATGAGGGCCATGTTCAAGGTCATGGGTTTTAAAACAAGACCAAAAACAAACCCAGAGAAACGCATCACTACCTTGGTCCCTAATCCCAGTGACAGTCTGGAACAGAGAGTTCACATTCCTTCCTTTAATCAGAAGCCCCAGTAAAGTAGCTGGCCTCAGTCCTGTCTTGGCTCAAAGGTAGAACCATGAGTAGATGACCAAGAAGGAAGAAATAGGCAAAGTTCTGCTCCATTTAGTAATGAAAACTCCAGGAAACTCCAAGTAAGCATTCCTCGGATGAGTTTTTGCCACAGAAACCATTTCGACCTTACCAAAAAAGTAGATGAGACAGTCACAAGCTTGTTATCAAATATTTATGAAGCAATTTACAGTTTAATTGAAATAGACAGGGGCTTCCAGCCCCTTCAATTGTCTCCTACAGAACTAAAGAAGATGTTATAAATGTATCTTTAATGGTCGAAATAATAACCTTAGATGATTCAGCACTGAAAGGATTACATTTGCAAAATCAACTCTGCTTTTCAGAGATTTCCCTCTCTTTTAATAAATTGTATTTGGATGCAAAATTCAGTTGGGATTTCATTAAAGACCAAATTTAGGGGCACTTTCTCTATGAGATTCATATTCCCTCTGCCAAGAAATGTCCCCCAATACCCTCAGGCCTCTGTTGCCTTGTCCAGAACTGAGAGCTCTGTTTAGCAGCAGCATTGGTGACAGACAGACACAGTCACCTTCACAACAGAATACTCAGCTTATAAATTGTGCACATGTCACAGTGAGTCTAGCACCCAGACCATGGAGGAGCTCATAATCCTTCTGGAACATAAGGTGCTTTGCATATTTAGCCACCACACATGGCTGGGGACGACTGTAATCACCATTTCACAAATGGAAACTGTGGTGTGGCAAGGTTAAATGGTTTGTCCAAGGGCACTGAGGGAGCTGGGTCTTAGAGCTTGGAAGAGAAACCCTCCAGGATTGCTCTCCTCTGCTTGCTCTGACTAAAACAGCACAACCAATGTTTGAAGAACAGCTTGGTTTATCCCCCACTCAGTTTAAAGGATGGAACTGGGGGCCAATTCTATTTTAGAAAAGTGTTTTTAGTGGAAATAAAAGTGAGCCTTTCTCCAGCTAATTGGAATCGTTCTAGAATGGCAAGGAAGTACAGGAAGCGGGAGAGAACCAGAGAAACAGACTGGTTGGTGAGAATCACAGCCTGACCCTGCTCCCCCATCATGTATGAAAATTCTCCCCTCCCCTACAGCCTAAAGGGTGTTACTCTGTAACTGCCAGCCAAAACTGGTCATATTTTACTTTTTGGACTAGTCTCTGCAACTCAAACACATCATGCCCTTATATGTTAGCAAATGGAAATTCGACTGGGGCCCTCTTGACAGCTGAGCTGAGTAAATATGGATGGGGGATTATTAAAGAAAACATTAGCAATTGGATCCTTTGGCCTTGGTGGAAAAACAACAGTGATTCAAAAATGTCCAGTCCAGAGGTATTAAGAGGACTGGGGCTCTAAGACTTGTATGATTTGGTAACATCACCACAGATAGAAGAGCATCTCCCAACCAGGTGGCTTCCTCAACATACTTAAACATTACAATGGGTGTTTTGAATATTGTGTGTTCCCAGCGCCTGTGAACCTTCTCTGTTCACTTAGCAATACTAAGGAGTCGCCCTTTTATCAAACAGAAAACATATGCAAACACTTGTCTGTTCTTACGCTTTCATATTTACATTAGAAGGCATTAAATCAATCATATTCCAGAAGAAAATCTACTAAGCACTCTCTGGAAATTTGCATAATGTTTTCTGATTAATAAAGGATGAACCCTGTCTAACTGGGTTTAATGACAAAATCACAAGGAGAAAAACCAAGTGCAAATAGCAACCCGGAAAGCGGCATCAGCACAGACCTTGACTTTTATAGGAAATGCTTTTCTTCTTCACTGATGTGGGCTGGTGAGGTGTTACTATTATTACTGTTGTGACTATTATTATTCATTGTGAGACTGAAAACAACTTCACTTGGCTAAGGCTTTCTGAGAGCGTTGTCACCTGACGGAGTTGCCTGCTTAGAATCGGCAAGCGATGGGAGTTCTCAAGCACGAACAGAACCAGGAAAGGCTGCTCCAAAGTTGACTTTTTTATTTGGATCCTTCCACTTTCCAGGCCTCCCAGTCAACTGAAGAGCCTCCGAGGTAGAGACAGGGGCAATAAAGTAGGACCACCGCACCAAGGAACAGAGAAACAGAGGAATTCAGAAAGATTCCAGCTAATTCATTCTAAGGCTATAGGTTAATGTAACAACAGAAAAAAAAAAAAATGAAAGCAGAGGAGGGGCAGTAAATTGAAAGGACGAGAAAAAGGAAGACTTTTTTCTGGAAAGAATTAATATCATGGCATCATGGCAATGGCTAACTTAACTAAAAAGAAAAACATATATTCAGAAAATGAGGAAAATCTAGCAAGCTGCAGAAACAAAATGCTGTCCCTAATTGAATTTAACAATAATACAAGATTCAAACGTAATTAAGAAAATGATAAAAAAGGAAAGCAGAATAAAAGGAAAGTATTTATTACTTTTATTATCTACACAACTGAATTTTTTCTGAAAAAAAAACAAGCATAAGTGGAGAACTGAAGTAGGAGGAGAAACGTATTTTCATAATTTTTCCTTGTGAAACTGCAAAGACTGGGGAGAACGTTAGGCTTCGACAAATCCAAAGCTGTATCTATCCGCTTCTCCAGTTCGTCCAGCACCTGCTTCACTAACCTCCTCCCCCGCTACCCAAAAGGAGCCTCCGGGCACTCTCTCCCCTCCACCATTACCTGCCGGAGGTTACGCGTGACTTTGACATCATGCCAGGCGTTGTCGTTGAATTTTCCATTCACTGGCTCCACGATGGCCTCAAAGGCCCCGGACCCCAGGTTAATGACCAAGGAGACCGCGCCATCCTTCAGAGCCAGGTTGACATAGTCAGCCGACTTGCCCGTGTGCAGGATGAGCCCGTTCCGCTGCCAGGTCTTAAAGGAGAGGGTGATTTCATCACTGCTGCTCTGGATCGGGTTCTGAGACAGGTCGTAGCACAGGTACTCGGAGCCTCGGAAAGTGGCCACATTCTCCTCTCGGGCTGCGTGAAAAGGAAAGAGGGGAGCAGTCACCACCTGACTGGCATGAGTCAGGAGTACGCAAATACCAAAGAGAACATGGCCCCCCAGGGCAATGCCCCTGCCAGGGAGCTGCTATCCGCATGAGCTCCCTCCAACGCTTCCACCAGACCTGTGTCTAAGCACTAGGGAAACCACGAAGAGGCAGTAACTGCCGAGGAGCTATCTATCCTCACAAGGGTGGAAGACCAACGTAATGGCATAGGAGAGCTTGCTGCCTTTCCTTTCCATTTTCCCAGAGAAAAACCTAGAGGGAAATTTTATGCAAAATGGTAGAGTGAGGTTTACGTTGCTTTTGCTTCAATGATGGCTTTTAAATGCTTGTCCGAGAGCTGGTGTAGAATGGAAAATTAACTGTTCTGACAAAGGGTTCTTTAGCTCCAGGTACCTTTTATTGACCAATAACTAAAAATCAATTACCCTGAAAGATCTGGCTCTAATTTCCATCCATCAATAACCCAGCTAACTTTGGTTTCCATGGTAGAGTCCTGAGCCCAGTGGAATGTGACAGGGTTATTAAATAGGAGATGGGACCTGAGAAGGTGATCAAGCAGATGAGGGAAAGGGGACAGAATGGAATTTGGTGATATGCTTTGACAAGACAGCAATAGCTCCCTTTCGATCCAAAGGGATCTCTGCTCTAGGGTCTCCCAATTTAGATGGCCCTGGTCGGACCATCCTATAGAACATCCAGGATCAAGACAGCAATCCACTGGAGTGTATACTCTCCTTCAAGGCCACACCATGGGATCCTCTAATTCCCTACCCAAGGAGCCCCTGCCCTGTTTCCAGGGCTTCTGCAAGGCTCTGCCCTGGACTCATTTTCCAACAGCAAATCATGCCATCGGTGTGCATACCTCAAGGTCTGAGAACTAGCAACAGGGGACCTTTTGCAGGGAGTTAGACAGAGCTTGGCCACATGGGCGTCCACGTGCATTTATACCAGAGCCCTTGTGGATACAGGATGGAGCCAAAGGTGGAAAAAGGAAGGGGACAGGCCACAGTTGACAACCAGAGGGGCTGGTTCTCCCTGCGCTAGCATATCCCAGGACAGAACTCTGAGGAATCCAAAAATTCTAAGTGTGCACCTGGCTTACCAGGTAGTTTCAAAGGTGTATTTATGAAGGTAATGACATGTTTTATTTAATCTTTTGTTGATGTAATTTATAACTTCAAAACCCACTTGTCCCCCTGACAGGCAGTCTGACTGAGAGTGGCCTACTGCATATCAGGGTTGGCCAAAAGCTAGCAAAAGCACCTCATCATGAAAGAAAATGGGCAACAATACAAGGTTGGATAGGCAGTTTCCCATTACGGGGCGGGGGGAGGGTTACAAAATAAGGCTGAGCAAGTTCTATTTTCTCTTCTAGAACTACACTTCAGCCTTCGTAACCAAAGTCAATTCCACCTCAACTTAGAACCTTATCAACCATCACAGCCCTTGGTAAGTCACTTACATAAAATAAATATATTCTCATGATTAGGTAAGAACTGTAGAGGAAGCACTCATCATATGGGAGAGATGACCACCCACTACAGTCTATATTAAACTAATTATAGAATCATGACAGCCTTAAAACATGAACCTCAACTTCGTACTCCAGAGAGTGAAAGAAGAGATCAGGCTTGTCCTGTGTTTTCAGAGGGTCTCAATGATGTGTCTACCTGCATATCTCTGTGCACGTGCACATGCGCGCATTCACACGCATGCACAAACACACACACGCACACACACTGGTATAAGCAAAAGGAATCTGTCCACCTATAAATGACCACAGTGTCTCAGCAAGCACTACTTGGCACATAACCCATGTCTGATGCCTTTTACCAAAACTGCCAAAAAAAAAAAAATCATGGAGCAGCAATTTGATACCATCTATATGTTTGAAACAGACGTATCCAACCCCCTAGTGCCCTGTCTATTGTCATTTCTTCTCTCATTTCTGAAGAAATGACTATGTTAAAATGCATTTGGATGAGCCTTTGTTTAGGAGACCAGGAGGTAAGCCTGACCTAGAGTAAAGGACGGCAAATCAAATTCAGTTATCACCAATATACTCTTTTCCTGTGGATACATATGCGCACAGAGCCAACTGCTATGCCTGTCCTTGGTGCCACATGTGGTATAATAATGGGTGTCTTCTATAAACATTTAAGTTAGACCGTATGTGCCCACCGAACTGAGAAAAATGAACAAGGAAATGAGTGCCTCTAAAGAGATGCTTAAATTAATCACTGAGTACCCTTCAAAGGGGAAAGGTTTGATATAGAACAGTAAGGCACCAGGATGTTATTTGATGTGCTATACGGGGCTTAATATTTGTCATGTAATTAAACCAAGGAGTATGCAAAAATAATAAGTTTTGGAGCTTATAAGGGATTTTAGAGCTTATCTGATTTAATGACCCCCCCTTTTTTTTTAACAAGGAAGAAACTGACAACTAAGAGTAAGTGTTGCCCGAGACCACACAGTTGGTGTTACTCTGGACTTCTAGTGCCTATCTGGACTTTTCTCTAAATATCCTTTTACCCATCACTTTGGATGTAGCACGTTGTTCCTACTCTACTAAACGGCAAACCATCCCAAACCTTGGATAAATTGAGCCAGAAATTTATTTCCCCCCCTACCCTATGTAAATCACACTTACCAAAATTAATGTTCCCCTTTCCCCCTGGATTCTGGGTGTGTTTAAAGCAATAGAACTTGTTTTATGTGGAGGCCAGAGAAGAAAAATGACATCATTGTAGAGAAGAGAATATCAATAAATAAACAAGAAATAAAACCAACCGTGAGAAATCATCTATGTAAATCACATGCATATTTATGCTAATCTCCATGCAAATTCACCAACAAAGACTTTATGTAGCTGAGTGAGTCCCTTTGCAAGTAACCTAAGGAAAATGCTGTAGCCGTTCACAACCTTCCCAATCTCTTCATTCAATGATGAATTTTCCCGCTTTGCCTCTTCCCTGAGCTGGAGGAGGCTACCAAGAGCAGCATCACCCTAGATGATGCTGTCTCCTCCACATGTCAACACCCGAGACACCTGAAAGCTACTCTCTGATTCATATTCTAGATAAGCCAAATTGTAACATTTTTAATGCATGGGATACCTTCCTCCTGACTGTGTGGGGAGGAGAGGCATTGACAGTGCTTGACCTGGTCTTTAAAAGAGCAAATGAGGGGCATGGAAGAAAAGAGTGAGAACGTTGAAGAAAGCATTCCTTTGCATAATCTCACAACTGATTTTTCCTAAGATCCCAATCTTTCTTAATTTCCTTCCAGTAGCCAAAGCTTAAGCACTGTCTTACCACTTTGAAAGCCATACTAAATTGACAATGAACATAAATAAAAGGTGCAAAACTAAATAGTGACAAACACAGTTCTAAGCCCATTCAATTCTCCAAACTCTCCATTAGAAAAATGTAATATTGCCCCAATTTGTTTTCTATATTTAGTGTTTACACTGAAAAGGAGGTTGAAGAGACAAGGCAGTCACCTTGTATGTATTCAAGCAAAATAGGTAGCAACAATGGATGCAGAGGATTATGTAACAGAGTACACAACAGCTTAGCATAAAGCTCCAACTTGGCAAGAGAGCATGCACTGACATGGCTAATGGACTGTTTAGATCCACTTAAATTATATCACCCCGAAGTTTACAATCAATTGCATAAGTGTTAAAATAAAAATGTTAGTCCCACTGCATGGAAAGCAGAGCTCAACTGTATGACAACAAATCATTTCCCCACTATTTGTAAGTGTCCAATTGATTAAACACTAAATGCAATCTAGATATGTATAACCCAAGATTTTACATCAGTTTGTATAAGATATGTAAAGTACTGATCTTTCAAAGGCTTGTAAATCCAAGTACTATATATAAATAGCATTAACAAGGATTTATTCCATTCTATTTTCCACTCTCTCCCCCCAAAAAAATCCAACTAGTGATTTATATAATAATATCTCCATTTCTCTGAGAAATTGCAAAGCAGATTAAAATATTCAGTGTAATATGTTTTTACCATGCAATCTAAGAGGTGTGGAGAAATGCGTATCACTGTTTAATTGGGCCTGTGGTTTCTGAGAGCTTGATGTCTCAGGCTTTGAGATCAAGAAATTCAGGCTTTATTCTGAAGGTTATGAGGAGCCACGGCACAATTTTACTGAAAGGATGGAGGGTCTGATTTGTATTTTTAAAAGATCACATAATCTTTTAAAAAGATTTTGCAACTCAACTTATGTTGGGTTGAGAGTGAACTGAAAAGAAGAGTGAACTGAAGGCAGAGAGCCCCGTTAAAAGGTGAGAACACTGGGGCACCTGAGTGGCTCAGCCAGTTAAGCATCCTACTCTTGATTTTATTTCAGGTCATGATCTCAGGTTCATGAGATAGAGCCCCACATCAGGCTCCGTGCTCAGCGCTGAGTCTGCTTGTCCCTCTCCCTCTGCTCTTCCCCCTGCTTGTGCTCGCTCTCACAGTCTCTCTCTTGCTCTCAAATAAATTAATAAATAAAATCTAAAAAAACAAAAAAAGGTTGAGAACACATTTGAACTACTTTTCTGGGGGAACTGGTTCAACCTGGATGTTGATACCCTTCCCGAATAAGGTTTGCCTTTTGCTTGGCAGTAGTGGAAGCAAACGGTTCTTAGGAGAGACAACCCAGGAAACTGAGAGGCAGCGGTACTAGCAAATCAAAAACCACAGGAGGAAGCCAGAGTCTGCACACTTACAATCCAAATGCAGCCATGGAAAACCAAGGACCGGCGGCAAAAACTGAGGGACGATGCTAGAACGCTAGACATGAAAGGCCTCAAGGGAGAACATGTCAGGCATGGGTAAAGGAGGATTCTAGGTCCATTTGCAAATACATGTGCACAGTTTCTTAAATGTCATATATCTCCAAATGCTTTCTTAGTCACATTTGTAGTCTCTCAACATCCCACGAGGTCACTTTGCT